AATACAACTTTCAACGCGTGAGATCTCGACGGATCGTGTGAGGACGGTAACCGGAAGTAGTTAGGCGCCTGTTCCGCCTATAGGGCGACATCTGCGATGTCACTAGAGCGTTTAGAACCAGGAGCGCTTAAGGGCGCCAGAATATAAACAGTAGTCATGGGATCGTATCACGATAAGTGCGCCAACATTTATATATACACATAGTTTATGATCGAAAAAACTAACTTGAAACAAATGCGTAAAATTCATAAAACAAAACATCTCTGTACATAGAAACATATAAATATAATTAAATGTATTAAACGTACAACGTTTTTCAAGAGGAATAAAAGGTATTAAGAAATAAATAAAACGAAAAGAAATATGTCTAAGAAAGTTTCAAAAGGAAAACAAGGTAAAAGTATTATAAAAATTATATTAATATCTAATTAAAATAATATTAATGTTAATATTAGTAATAATAAAATTATTCAGTCAAAAATAATTGGTTGAATTGACATCGATTAATATTAATTTCATGTTGATTTAATTAAACATTTTTGGATAAATAATATGAATAATATAATGAGAAATATAATATTGTTTATCAAATGATTTGAGATATAGCTTAATATTTAAAAGAGATTTTAATTTCATGTTGATTTAATTAAACATTTTTGGATAAATAATATGTATAATATAATAAAAAATATAATATTGTTTATCAAATAATTTTAGATATAGCTCAATGTTTAAAAGAGAAAAGTCTTGAAACAAATGATTTATCCAAGAAATCACATAATATTTCGATTCCTAATCAAGATGATAAACTTGAAGAAATTGAAGTTTCATCTGATAATATGTTGGAAAATGTTCAACCAGAAGATTCGACTGTGTATGTATATTTGATAACACAATTAATATCATTATTAACAGAAAGTAAGGAATAATATTATATTTTTTATTTTATGCATATTTCTGTTATAACACATTTAATTTTAACATATATTTATATTATTTTATATTACTTGTATATTTTGTAACTTTTAAACGTATCAATTTTAATATCTAATTTCTATTTTTAGAGTATTTATATAAATTATTATTTATGTAAATTATCATGTAATTTAATATATTTATTATATATAATTAAATTTACTTAATAAACTTGATGATATTACGCAGAAAACAAAAAATAATATAATAACATTTACTTCATTTAGAAAGTTAAAAATTTAAATAAAATTATGTTATAAATTTATTATATTAATAAAATGCTAAAAGTATTAAATTATAAAACAAGATCTATTATATATTATAATCTATTATATATTATATTCCACATGATTAATTTTCTATGTTAAACAAGTTTAATTTACAATTTCTTTGTTTTTTACGCATAATAACATAAAGTATATTATATAAATTTAATTATATAATAAATATATTAAATTATGTGGTAATTTATAAATACTAATTTATATAAGCATTCTAAAAACAAAAATTAAATACTAAAATTGGTAATTAAAAATTAAGAAATATATTGAATCAATAAAGTAAAATAATATAAATATGTATTAAATTATAATATAAATATGTATATAATATGTAAATAATATAAATATGTATAGTATAATAGAAATTTGTGAAAAATAAAAAATATATTAGATTTATTAATCCACTTACATTTATTCATACCTATCCATCTAACCATATCTATCGATATTTACCTATATTAAATTATATCTATTCATCTATTTTTATTCATTTGTATCTACCTATTTATCTATATTTATTCATCTATCTATATTTGTTTATATTTCCTATATTTATTCAAATAGTTACGCGGCAGCTTCCAGCTATGCTAAAGATTGAGATTCGAATTCAAAATTATATTTTATCGATATAACATATTTTTAAACATATTAATTTTAGTTTATTTTTTATTTAAAAAAAATAAAATATTGTGTAAATATTGCGTACGCTACTGTTGTTGTGTAGGAAAGAGCAAATGTTGGTCCCATCATTAAAAATTCTATTAAAATTATCCACTATAGTATTGGTATTACAGATATTAAACCTAACCAAAGTGCGTAAAATACGAGAGACAAAGTAAAGGTGTAACCATATCCTAATTTATTCAATATTTTACCTAGAAAAGAAAAAATTTAATATTTTAAATTATCCAATTTCCCCATTCATATAAGAAATTATAACAAAATAATATTTAACGTTACCAGATAAAGGTATGAATATTATTGCACTACCGAAAGCTTGCGCGGCTAATGTAAAACCTTTTATTAATTTAATTTTATCCATCCAACCAGTCTTCATAGCAAGATCTTTTTCAAACCTAGAAAAACAAATTAATTTGAATTAGTGCAACAAAGTATTACAAAGTATTATTATAAATATAAATCATTATTTGTTTACATGTATATTATATAACAAATTTAAATTATTTGTGATATCTTTTGTAATATTTCATTGTATATTTTTTATAGTTTTAGTCATGCGGTTACGTAAAGACTAATTTTGCATTTGTGCATCAGAATCAATTAAATAAATTTATTAGTTATGGATTATTGCAAAAATAATCAAAATATTAATTCGTATTATACGACTAAAATTAAAATTATAAATTTAAATTATTCATTCAATAATCCATAACTAATAAATTTATTTAATTGATTCTGATGCTCAAATGCAAAATTAGTCTTTAGGTAACTATTATACATGACTAAAACTATAAAAAATATACAACAAAATATTACAAAAGATATCACAAATAATTTAAATTTGTTATATAATACATGTAAACAAATAATGATTTATATTTATATAATTTAAATTTATAATTCAAATTTTAGTCATATGATAAACATGTTTATATATATATATATATA